TTGATATTTTTTGTATATGTTCATATTTGGATAATTCTTCATTTGGTATAGTCATACTACCAAGAATAATAAGTTGCTCTGGGTTACTTTCAGATTGGGTAGGTACAGCTGTTGCTGAGGTGATAGCAGTATCGGAAACTTCATCCTCACCTTCATTCCACATTTGAAGAAACTGTCTGACATCAAGACCCTTTTTATCAGAGCTAGTGATAGAATTTGATCTTTGTTTTTGAGAGGTTCTTGACCCATTTCCATACAACATATCAGTTTTTCTATAAATCTCATTTTGAATTTTAAAATTTCCTGAATCAATACTCCTGCCACTTGCAGATGATGATTGGCTAACATAACCACAATCTTCTTGCAACCCCCCTATAGATGCATGCATTGCTTCAAGTCTAGAAAATGATTCTGCAGGTGATTTTGCCAAGGATGAAGAATAATGCAAATGATGTGGTAAAGGATATGAATTTGGGTAGGGTGACTCCATTGGTTTCACAGGCATATTATCTTTCCTATACACATGATGTTGAGGTATATGATGCATATTTATGCTGGGATGCATTGCTAATGTTTGCCTCTTAGGCTCATTAAAGTATGTCATATTGTCAACAGAAGAATACATTTTGTTTCTAACATTTTCATAATCAACATATAGTTTGCTATTCACATCATAAGGTAATTTAGTAGCTGTTAATGTATTAGGTGACATATCTGGTGGGTAAGGATAAATTTTACTAGGCATACAGTTTCCTTGAACTGGTCCATAAGAATGAGAAATATATTGATTTTGATAGGGATTAAAATTTGGTTGACTTGGTCTTTGGTATGGATCTATAATTGGATCAGGTACTCTTCGTATTGGAACCTGTGGATACATGGGATATGGGTGAGACGGTAATGTTTTACTTATATCATACTTTTGTGGTGGGAATGACAGTTGTGGGTGATATGTATTTGGATAATTAGAAACATAATCATACCTGTGTTGTGTATACCGTTCTCTTGTACTTGGATAAGGTTTGAATCTCACACTTGCTTCATTATACAAACGATCTGCGTGGCCTTGAGCAGGGTCTTCTTGTGGTGGCCGATGAAGTCTCTGCAATGGTCTTTGTCCTGGAATGTTGGCTACCTCAGGATATTGATAGAACTCTGGGGCAAAGGGTCTTTGAGGCCGCGGTCCAACAGCACCAGACCATCCATGTCGTTGCACAGTGAGATATGGTGAATTTGCCGCAGTTATCGGAACATCTGAGCTCCTAATACTTTTTTGGCTATTAACTATAGGATTAATCGAGTAAGGCACATCACAGTACTTAACTTCTAGTGGCATATCAGCTTTGGAATTTTTTAAAACATTATCTTCAATACTCTTAGAAGAATGATAAGGCGGCACCATAATCCGCTGCATATTTTCTTGGAATGTCTGTCTGGGAGATATATTTCTCATTGACTGATAATCTGGTAACTTCTGAGAGATCTCTGCTTGTAGTTGATAAACAGTATCTGAGCATGGCCATGGTTCAACTAAAGCTTTTTTGAGATATGCATCGCCAGCAGTGGGCGGGGGTTGCACTCTATCGGGCCCTATAATAGCACACGGCCGTGAGCCTTGCGCCTCCACTTTACCCAATGAGTTTGATTCGATATCTTGATATGACTTATTTCTATTACTAAGTAACGTAATGTTGTTTTCATCAAAGTTGGTGTTTCCATCGTTAATAGCAGATACAAGAGTAGAATCACTTCTTAAATCTTTAGCGTCCATGGTCACGTTTTTTCGCGTAGATATTGAACTGGGTTTTAAACATTTTTCTTTTTAACTTCTATTCACTTATGGTAATACAATCGTTTTGTTAAACCGTCCAAAATAATGGTAATTCTGAAATATAAACAAATTGTTAAACATACTTGTAGGTTTATTGACAACTGTCAAAATAAAACACTGCCACATAAGCTTTACTAAAAAAATTAATTAGGAATGTCTATAATCTTGAGCAAAAATGTTTAAAATAGAGCAAATACATACCTATACGAAAACTTGAATGAAATATCAATATTATTTCCTTGGAGACACCGATTTATTACGTTGTTGCAGTTTGTCCCGTAAAGTTATGTGTTACCAGTTTTTTGTATCTGTTAATTTCGACAAAAATATTTTTCATATACATAAAAGTGTTACCCTTGTTAAAAATATTAATAATTCATTAAATAATTTGAGTAGTTGACTTGAAATTATAAAAAAATCATAGATATACAACGCTAAAATATCAAACGAAAGGACTACATTAAAGCTTCTATACACGGCCCTAAAATCAGAGGCAATACTTATAGATATATTTTCTAAGGCCATACTAGTGCGTAAGAAGGAGATAAAACAATGTTTGTCCTGGGGCCTTAGTCAAGATTCTTTAACAGTAGTGTATGTAGAACGTCAAAAACTAAATTTGTATGAAAACTTTTCGACACGAACTGTCATTTCCATACAAATTAAGTTTTCGACTTTCTACATACACTACTGTTAAGGCATCTTGACAAGGCCCCCCAGCTGTTTTGTCAAGTAGGTAGGAAGTGCCAACCGCAACAGGCTCCCAAATAGGCTCAACAATACTTCTTTGAACTAGTATCGATACTTCATATCGATACTAATTCTAATATAAGAATTACCTTACATGGTTTTATTGTTTTTGCTTAATAAAATCAGAAAAGTTCAATGCAAATTTGTTAATATCATAAAAAACATATATACATATATGATGATTTATATTTAAAGTAAAAGAGAGATTCCATCAAAATACAATATTTTGGTAGTTTGATTTTTAAATATAGGGGAGAGTAGTATATTATATAGATATGTCGGACAAACATATCAATATAAAAAATGCATTGATTCATTCCTTAGAAAATTCTAATTATTAGATGCTAGTTTTAACAATATAAGACAATTATAAAATATTATTTTTAATTAAAAGTATAAGTATGTATTTAGATGGTTGAGAGAGAATGTTTGAAACATTATAAAGCATGCATTTGATTATCAATGATCTAACGATAACCGCCAATAACGAACAAGATTAGAAATATGCTGCCCCTTGCATTTACTTATAAATCATTCAACGTTAGAGTAAGTACAACGAACTAACTACCTAGTGTAAATAGTTACATAATTTTTATACTTTTGGTCTCGTTCTTAGGTTGTTGAGTTGAAATTTGGTACTCCTTTTCTTTTCTTATCTTATTTAAATGTCAATCATAAATCTATTGACATATAAGTTACCTATTAGAATCCTTTGGTTATGTAAGTGTAGATAGATCGTTAGATGTATATCTACATACGTTTGCTGATCAATAGTTCGAGTATAAATTGCCTACAATAGCTTTTGTATACCACTGAGTAATCAGTACTGCTTGTATCATTTTGATATCTACATATACACGCAGGTTAATTAATTAACTTAAATGTAGAATATTGTTGACTAATATTAATATACTTATTCATTAGTTGGAGCCCTTAGGGAAACTTAGATATTTAATATTGATTTTATTCGTAATTACGTCATATCGCTTGAATATGTTAAGAAACATAAATTGGTCTGTCTGTTGCCATATCATGTCTTGTAATCAATTATGATATAAAACATCACTATAAGAAACACGAATATGTGTATAAAAAAAGGGTGCGTGTCCTTATGTACGCGCGTAAGAAGTTATACTTCTTTGGCTTTCTTTATTTTTTTTAAATATTAAATAAGTAATAATAAATATTTAACGTTAATAATTTAATAATATTTAATATTTAGTATATTATTCCATTATTAATCAATATTAATAATAATAATTATTATTATTTATTATTTTATTATATTATTCATTCAATTTAATAACTAGGTATGTTTCATAACCTTTTAACTAAGTAACAATAGGTCTTTATGAAAAAGCATTGCTAAATTTCTTTGAAAAAATAATTAAAACCGTCCTTATCCTCCTCCGTCATTATGGTCATTCAAAATTCTTGGCATAGCTGCTAACTTCACGCATATTCTATTTCTTTTTACTTGTAGATTGTCTTATTCTCATCTCGCTCGCTCACGCTCGGCGCCCGGCTGGTTTAAAAACTTCATACTGATAATTTTGTGTCACGGTGCGCGCGCATCGTAAAATTTCACTCTCACCAATTTTTCATAACGCGCCTAAAGAAGTATAACTTCAAAAAGGGTGCGTGTACTTAAGTACGCGCGTAAGAAGTTATACTTCTTTGGCATTATTAAAAATAGTTTTTGATTTGCATGCAAATAATTAATTACAATGAAATAATCAAAGACTGGAAAAGGAAAAGTCATTATAGTCAATAAAGTTCAGTTTACATTTGAAAAATTAATTTATACACATACATCTAGTAATAGACAGATTATATGTACATACCTTTACCTCATATAAGTATGTACGTCAAACATTATAAATTTATTTTTCCTTTGAGTAGTAAAAAATATCGATATACATATGTATATGAATTAAGATCGATATTTCAAGAAAAAATATCGGTCTAATCTATTACTCTACTACTTTAAAAAGTATGAGTATGCTATAATATTTAAAAAATAATTGTTTCTTCAGCCTAGTTTTTTTACAAAAACTCCATATGCACAAAAATCGTTTAATTTTTACAAATTTGTTCATATTATATATTTAATATCAATACGTTTTAAATGTCTACCTAATGATCAACTTGGGCAAACACAAAACACTATAACTGCTTTAAAGGGATGATCAAAACAAAGGACTACATACATGTCTGGTCTGTGCATTTAGCATAGTCTATCATAAAGTGACCATAAACAACAAAATCTGTGATCATAAATTAAGAATAGAAAATTAATTAGAATTTAAAAAAATAAAAATTCTACAGCGAAATGAAAATTTATGTTCGGTTCTTATTTCTTAATTTTTTTATATTATTATAAACTTAAAGGTTTTAATTCATTAATACTGTATTTACAATGAAATACATTTCGTTTAGCTTAATTGTATCTTTATTTTTTGCTGGTTATGTTATCAATACAATATGGAATTTAGCTGAAATATTTATACCGCCTGAATGTAGTCGTGGCGAAAAATGTTTTACGTCTTATTTAGCTTCAAATCCTGTGCAGTGTCTAGTGTTATTTACTTCAGTTACCGAAAATCCTTATAGGGAGGGGATATCGGGTGCGTCAGTAAATAAAGTTCACACATCTTTAAAATTTGATTACCGCAAATCTTCAAAAATGTAAGTGATTTTAATTTATAACTTTACTAAATTATATCTATACTCTATTTTCTATACCTTAATTTAAATAAGTTATTATATTATTTTTTAATTTATGTCAAGAAAATATTTTTTTGTACTTTACAGGGTTGTGAATTTAAAAATACCTCGTCGTACTCGAAATAATGGATCTTTTTATATGCATGCTGTACTATTGGATGAAAAACGCCTTTATGATGATTTTATTGATATATTTAAGACGGAAGCTGTTCATACCTTGCCTCTTGTCACATTTATGGAACCTCAGGCAGAAATGTTCAATCTTCTACAGGCTGTGAGTCCTTCCTTAATGTCCTCTTATCTCCTCTTATTCTATTTTGTGCACTTAATTAATAAGTTAGTCTATAAATAAAATCAGTTAATTATTCTATTCTAACTAAAATATAGATCCTTATTTTCTATCTCCATTGCATGAAAACAATTTAACAAATAATCTTATATAAAACAGTGCAATTGGTATTTTTCATAACAGAAAACAGAAACGAAAGCTCCACAGAAAAAAATTAAACCATATGCCCACATATCCACCGAGGCACCACTGTCAATATTGACAGATAATTTAAACTTGCCTCCTAAAAAAATTCCTGGGGAATTGTATGCCTATTTGAGGTAAGCTATCTATCACGTTGACTATTTATGCATAAAATATTAAATAAATAATAATTAAATGGTGCAATATATCACTATTGATTTAAACTGCAATGTTCTGAGCAATAAAACTAGTGTCAGTAAAAAATAGCTTGCTAAATATCCTTTGCTAGTTAAGTTGTTGTTTATTGGTTTTGGGAATACATGTTTTTGTATCTTTTACTTGCCATTCTTTATAGCTTGACCTTTTGTGCTCTAATTCAAAACATATTTTACCATAGTTACCTTTGTGGTAAATTCATTTAATAAATAAAAACCTGGCCTCTAAAATAGGTTTGGTAAGTTAGATAGTTATCAGGGTAAAGTCTTTGTTTATTAATACTTTGTTTTATTCTTTAAGGATTAAACAAGGAAAATTTTTGCCAATAATCCAGCATAATGTTTTAAAATCACGTATATCCCATTTACAATTACTAAATAGCAGTAGTTCAGAAGTGAATGTGACAGTAGATGTGGCACCAACATCATATGGTGTGTTAAGATTGGCATTGCATGTAAAATTGGCACTAGAACAACTCCAGATGCTTGGCTTCAGTGAGAAGGATGTGGACGATGTTAAAGGAATATTTGCTGACACAAATTTGTACCTTCTATCTGCAACTGTTCTAATTGCAAGTTGTCATGTAAGTATACTAACAAAAATAATGTCTAAGATTAAAATTCTCTTGTAATTGTCTTAGCTCTTCATAAAATAATCTTTTGTACTTTGACTATAGATTATAAAAAAAATATGTATTTCTTTAATTTAATTTGACCAACAATTAAGATTGTAATTCTAAGTCATGTTTTTCTAGATTGAGTTAGTAATATATAAATAACTATATAAAATTATTAATAATCGTCCATTTGAGTGATAGTTAATTCTTACCTTCGCCTTTTATAATTATTAATAATTTTCAATTGATCATTTTTACCGAAACGAATACATATATCGTGTAAATTTCCAGCTGCTGTTTGATTTCTTGGCGTTCAAGAATGACGTGTCGTTCTGGCGTAGTAAGCGGTCTTTAGCCGGACTGTCGGCTCGCACTGTATTGTGGCGGGCATTCTCGCAATTCGTCATCTTCTTTTATCTGATTGATGAACAGACATCTTTACTGGTTCTTGTGCCGGCCGGTGTTAGTGCTGTTATTGAGGTATCTTTTTATTTAACTACGCCAAGTTTTTAAACTTCCTGCTTGCTTATTTCACCAATACCCAATAAATAAATATTTATATATATATAGAAGATGAATATTAAAAATCTCACCCAAAGGTGATAATTTCCTGTATCTGTTTTACTGATATTTTTTAACAAATCTAATCTAACTTCAGAGTTGAAACCATTATTAAATTATATATATATATACATACTACTTATTTTTAAAGTGATCGTAACTAAATATTTTGATTAATGTGATATTTTTGATATTAAAACTATTTCTTATTATATGTATAAAAATATTTGTAAAAAAACAAACCTAACATGGATCCGAAATTTCGTAATTGTCAATAAATTTCTCGTAAACCAAAAGCCATAACGAGATCATCAAGTTCAGATGTATTCCAAGTTAGGGAAACCTCTTATTAGGTAGTCCCGTCTGAACATGCACAATATAGGTATCATAATGTTGACAGCTTTTGAAGTCGGTTTAATTTTTCTAAATCACTTACATTTGTTTCAGTTGTGGAAAGCTAGCAAAGTTCTTCACGTGCGCGTGTCCGTATCAGGCGGGCGCGTGCGCGTGTGGCGCGAAGCAGGTGACGCTGGCGAACAGCAAACGGCACGAGCAGATGCAGAGGCCATGCGGTACCTTGCCCTCGTTCTGTACCCACTCTGTGCCGCCGGGGCCATTTACTCGCTGCTATATGAGCCACATAGGAGGTACAGTATCTCATTGCAATCAACATTTCACAGACTAGGATAGGATAGGACTAGGATAATATTTGAGGTATCAATAATAACGATATGCCATTATGGTAGCGAGATAACCTGTTACTTCGAGAGTTCCTGCCAAGAAAGATTAAGTTTATTGTACTTTACTTACTAGTTTCTTATTATAATCGCGGCGATTACCTAAATAGGCGGAGTTACGCCCCGAGAGTATATAATATATTTATTTTAAATTAATATATATTATATTATTATAATAGTATAGCATTTCCTTAAACAATCATTTAGCATTTATTTGTTTGTTGTACGTGAGTGATTTATATAGAGTAAAAATAATATCCTCGATTATTTTAGCACGAAACTATAATTATTGTACAGAAGCTGTACAATTATAGTTTCGTGATAATTAAAATAATTTAAAGACTATATCTGGGGGCCTTGAACTCTTATTGCGAGCCTATTGACAACCTACAACTGAGATGCATCGCTAATTCGTACCATGACATCGAAAAAACGAGACAGTTTATGTTCCCACGTGACCTTAGCGGTTATCAGATTTCGTTCGTTCAATTTGTATGAAAATTCGTACCATGACCGCTCGGCTGAACCGATATTTGACAGTTGCGCCTTCCAACTATGACAGAATAAGCGATTCTAAAATAGTTACTTTTTGTTCAACTTTTTTGTATCGAAATGTCCAAATAATAGTTAAGAACCTATAAAATTCAATATGTATCTACTCTGGCTATGTTTCGGATATTTTGAGTTTATAAAGTGTATAAACAAGACGGCAATGCCCTTCTACCGACTTCGTAGATATCGAGTTTATAATTTGCTATAGATTAACGACTTTGATTTGTTGAACATTTTAGTGTACCTACAAATAATTGCACTACTATGTTCATACTATGTTCAATAATAAATATTCAATAAATTAATTAGGCATGTCTAACAAAAACATAATTCCCCAATATATCATATTTTATAATAAATAAGCATGCCATATCAGCAGTAGATCTATATATATAAAAGAAAAATGGTCTTCGGTCTCCTTCACGCCTAAACCACTGATCGTATCGACATGAAACTACCACCATTCGAAATTTTTCCTAGATGGTTTATGGCTATTTATTTATTAAATTCCAACGATCCTTCATTTTTTTATTGCTGTTTTACTTTTATGAAAATTTATCCATACGGACTTCACCGCGGAAACATTCGGGGAGGCTTCCTAGAACCTCTAAACGTCAACATCTGTTAAAAACTCGATTTTCGAAATGTTTCAATTTTCTTAGCGGGAAGTTAAAAAGAAGAATAATAAAAATATGAAAAAAAATAAAATAATGAAACATAAAATTTATTTTATTTCGTCCAGCAAAGCGGGCGCGAAACGGCTAGTATTTATTATAATTAAATTTTTCCTCATTATGTTCATGAATTGTATGGTTATCCTCTGCTTTTTCTTGTCTAAAAAAACATAGGTATTTTTCAAATTTATAATGTGTAAATAATAAGCCATTTGAAAATATTATAATAACAGTATTTATTTAGTTAGGATGACTCCATCAAGATAGAAAAAGGTGTCTTCAGGCAATGTTCGATTGGATATAAACATAATATACATGTTCATATATTTCATTCTCTCAATTCAGCGAGTTTGTCAGGTTTAAGCTTTAAAGAAAATATAATTATTTATATTATATGAATTAGTTAACGTATAAACTAAATTTGTACAATATGAAGGAAATCATTTTTATTAATTTTTGTTATGATTTTCGAGTAATAAGTTGATTTGTAATATCTTTCGCAAAGAGTTATATCAGGAATTAACTTCGATATAGGTATTTATTTTTAATAAACAAATTTGTGAACAATACCTACCCCATCATATTATTTTATAAGTTAAACAATTTGTAAAACTGAAATTTTGTAAACACCAAAATATTGAAAGCTCCTATCAAAATTTGACGGAAACGTTTAAAAATAATAAGTGTCAACTATCATAGCACCAGAAAACTTTGTTTAAAATATATCAAAAGAATAGTTTTGTATTAAATAAATATATATATGTATTAAGATATAATAGCTTATTGTGATTGATGAATTATTGAAAATAATTTTATATTTTATTTATTTTTATAGAAACATCTGTCAAAGAAAGTTTGACGGTTAAATTTCAAAAGAAACCTCAAACAAAATTATCGGTCTTTCATTCGGTCTTGCGATGCAAATACGTTTCAGCTTATGAATGCTATTGACTTTAGATACCTAAACTCAACTGCATCTCAACTGGATTGTTTTAAGAAAGTTCATGGTAGGCCCCCTGAGCACTAAAGTTAAACTCCCAAGTGATTTTCAGTATTTATGGCTAAATTAAGGCGCATGCATGCATTTAAATAAAATTTGTTTAACGGGAATTTTTATAAATCATTTCGAGTGATTTTTAACAATTGTGGTTATCAATCATGTTTTATTTAATACAGTTTCTTCTCTGTTTTGGAATGTTCACTTTTAATATCAAGTTTTGACTTTTGTATTAAATTATGTTTCGGCCTTTCGCACTTCTGATTTCTTTTATCAGGAAGAGATTGATTAAGCCGTTGTACAATTCATAAATTGTTTTTAACAGCTGGTACTCATGGGCGCTGCATAGCGTTGTAAATGGCGTGTACGCATTTGGGTTCATACTGATGCTACCGCAGCTCTTCGTGAATTATCGGCTGCGGTCGGTCGCGGCACTCCCCTGGCGCGCCTTCATGTATAAAGCTTTCAACACCTTCATTGACGACGTTTTCGCCTTCATCATCACAATGCCCACGGCGCACCGCGTGGCTTGCTTCCGCGATGACATCGTGTTTCTCATATATCTATACCAAAGATGGTAAGTATCGTTTTATTTAATTTTATTTTAATGTAGGACTCTAGTTGTTACCTAATTGTTAAAAATACATTTTATAAGCTGTTCCTGAGATAAGCACGTACAATTTCACAAAACCTTTTCAGGCTTATAATATTAGTATAGATTTCGAAATTGTATGGCATTACGTAGTCGGTCCCAAAGTTCTGTCATAAATGGAAATAATGATAAAAACAGAACTACTTATCAGTTTTTTATGAGTGATATACCGATTTATAGTCATTGATATACAAAAACCCAAGATGCACAATCAACGTCTAAAAAACGTCCTCAAAAAATGAGCGCAACATTCTAAATTGTGCGCTCATTTCAAATAGTCTCGCGTCTATAAGTGGAGTCGATGTTATTTATTTGTTTTTTTTATAAATAAATTTATGTACTCTTGAACTTTTTTGTGTGTAGTTTTTGACAAATATATTTACGCTATATAAAGTGTGGGTCAGGAGGTAGCCAATTTAAAAAATTTTTTTAATTTAAAGAAAAAAGTTTATAACCGGATTAATGTTATGTATTATTATAAATTTACAACTATTTAACATCCAACACCTTTTGTCTTCAGTCACCGTGACCACTCACGCTGTAAAGCACCCGAAAAGTCGGATAAATTTAAAATTATGTTAAATAGTTGTAAATAAAAAAGTCATGTTCGACTCCACTAAATACCTTGTCCTACCGACCACGGTCGGTCCTTAAATTTTATTGCTTTAAGTACGTATACACTGCGTTGTAATAACAACTTTAAGCAATTCGCGTAAGGTTGATTTTGCAATAATATTTGCTTGTAACATATACTGTTATGGACAGAAATAGTGTTTCGGGACACTTTCGAGCGTTACTTTTATTCGAGACTGTGCATCTTGGGTTTTTTGTATATCAATGTTTATAGTACATTAATTAAGGAATAAAAATAGCTTAAATTATTCGAAATGACCTCCCTCATTTTTAATATTGGCCCTAAGCGCTGCGGCCAGTCGCCTATCACAGCACGCACCATATTCATGTCGATTTCAGTGACTGCTTTATTTAAAGATGACTTCAGACTCTCCAAATTTTTATGTGGTATATATAGCACATACCTTCCTCTCTAAGACCTGCCAAATTTTATAGTCCAAAGGATTAAGGTCCGGACTGGAAGAAGGCCAACCAAATGATGTAAATTAGGTTCTACTTAAAGATCATCCATGATAGTTACTTTTTTAAACCCGTAGGCTTATTTTAAAAGAAAATTGTAAAAATAACGTTTTATTTATAACAACGTAAATAAATCTATTTTTTAATTATAGGTTGTACCCTGTTGACAAATCGCGTACTGATAGCGCCCTCAGTATGGACGAGAACCCTGATGAGTTGGAACCTGCAAAGGAGAAGGCTGACTAAGGTTTTTACTAACAGGTAAGAAATAGTGAAGTTACATAAATTTGTATACTTAATATTTAATTTGTAAGCCTAAATTCTCATACTCAAGTATCCTATTCCAACAATATCAAATACAAACCAGTCGCCTCCTTTTTTGAAATCGGTATGAAACACATAAAACTATGTCATAATTGCCCTTCTTTTTGTGGTGCCTCAACAATTACTGAAGGTCCGCAGTCAATCTCCGAAATGTGTTCTTGTTCATTGCCAATTTAAACAGCTATTGCATTGCAAATTAACCCACTCTTGAATGTTCTGTAATACTAAGGTATTTTGAGCCTACCAGGTTTGCCAATGTCGCCCATTATCGTCTACGGAAGTCTGATGTAATCAACATTTAACACTTCTCTACATGATAGTATAGACAAATAGGTTTAGGATTTGAAGTTGGTTGAAATTTTAACCCGAAAGACGATAAATGATTTTCGTTAACTAAATGGTCAATTTACGTTTAATAAATCAAAAACGCACTGTTTCGTCTTTAGTTTTTTCCAGAATAGTTTACTTGCCTTGCTCAAAATATACTTGCTGCACAGTTTGTACTAAACAAAGTTGGTTCAAAGGCCCTTTTAAAGATTCATAATTTTTGTTGTGTGTTCCTCATGTTGTTTGCATTTACCTGGCTCCTCAATACGAATTCTTTTTTTCGAATATTCTATTGCTCTTAAAAATAGTTACAAGGGTATAGGGTTTCTCTTTCGACGTAAAGGCCTGGTCCAAAAAGGAACAGTTTTCCCTCGATTGGGCATCCCGAAACCAGTAAACCCGCTATCTTTTTGATTTCATCGTCCCATCTAGCGTAAGGCGGCCTCCCTGGCTTCCTCTCCCTACTTTCTCCTCTACCTCTTTTACCTTCTATTAGTCCTTGAGACGCGCCACATGTCCATTTCCACCAATCTACCTCACGACTTTGTGATATATCTGATAATATTATGCTGCCTCCAGTGTTATTTGGGTTATTTAGTTTTTTCTGACCGAATCACAATTGCTATTTAATAAATTAAATAACATTTCATTACGTTTTTGCGTTTTAGGCACGTTTCATGATCAACATGATGGGTCCGGAGGTAGAGCACAAAAACTGACAAACGAACGCAGACGCAGAACGCAGATTGGAGCTATTTGCACAATAGTCGTATAAAACCTTAACTAAATTTGTGCTATTGTTTCAATCGCATTTTTTACAACATAATATCCTCGGAAGTCATCACGCCGTCTAAAGGCAAAATCTGGAATTGCTATTAATAACGCTTTTACGAATTTATTTTAATGTATTTGTGTGTACGTGACTGCATTTATTGTCTGGTTGCGTTGTTAAACATCTATGTTGATCAAAAATGTCTTAAATATATTTAATAATTGTCAATAAGCTTAGCCTCTATTTAAGGAAGTTTTTGGTCTTAATAAAAGATGCTTTGCGACAGGTGTGCTCTGGATTTATATAGAAATGGTCCGTGTTCAAGCATCAATTCCATACTGGGTTAACTGACCGTCATTTGTCTTTTTACAGGATGATATTTTTTACATTATGTGCATAGTAAAATACACTAACACAAAGATAAAAAGACGCTATTACAATTCACTTACAATTTTAATAATCCTATTAGACGTAATTTTATTCGAATAGAGTGGTATAGTCTCAATTATCACGCCGATTCGATTGTTTTAGACGTAGTTTGATAAATATTTTTATCTTATTATATTATTTTTATATGTATTTTAGCATTTATTTTGTTGATAGCAAATGAATTGAACGAATATTGCCGTTGAAGTAAGTGCACAAAACTATTGATTGTAAAATATTGATTGTAAACTATCGAAGTGAAACCGTCAAATTGTGAAACGGAACGCAACTCGCGTCCTGATTGGTTGAACGGCATACATTCGACAACATTCAGCGCGCGAGGTTTTTTTTAATCACAAATTTTTGTCAGGAATCATAAGAAAAAGGAGGAAGATTCAGAGTTACGTAAAAAGTTTCATAAAACTACTTGCTTAACAGGCGCTATAGGCGTAGCTTGTTTTAACATCTGTCCAGCTACTATCTTTTTGAGTGCAATTTCGATATAGATTTTTCAATAAAGCTTGGGATCGCGTTTTGAAAACTTATCGGGAGTTTTAGGGTAACCTGGTAACTAAATGCGACCGCGATCATTGTATGTTCTTTTCACTAAGATCGAAGTAGGTATCTACTAGAGACTTTGTACTAAACACGTACGGATTTATCGTTATGAATGTATTTCTTCTGCATATGTACATTATAAAAAACTTTGCGTCTGACCTGGTTCGTCGTGAATACCACTAGCACCAAATACATTATTTATTGTTTATCTAAAGAGAGGCTTGCGTTTTAAGGCTACAAGTAATACTAGAGGCTGATTAAATTTTATCTATATATTCGTCTTGTGAGAAAAATTATTATAGAGTTTGCCGTAGCTTAATTATGTCATGTTTTGTTTTAGTTGAAAAATTTGTTTATAAGGTATTTTTAGCACATCAACATTCCTGTTTGTTTATTTTTAAGTAGCAAATTATATTATTAATTAACTTTGAAAAATGTTCGTCATGGTTCTTGTATTTTTATTATTATTTTCTATCCTGTAAATTAGTTATGGCTAAATATACAAATGAATTATAAATGTTTGAAATAAATGCGATACAACAGCGATACTTCTTTCATTTATTCGACATTGAACTTGATCTTTGAAGACGTCATGATAAAATTGAACGCTGGTTGAATATTATGTAATGGAAGTGCGAGAATTTAGAGATTTCTAAGACATTACGCGCTACTATTTATATCACTACAATGTCAGGTACAATTAGACGATGTTTGCTGATAAAATTTAAAAAAAATTAAATGAAAATAAGTAATTGAAACAATTCCAATTAAAAACTATAACAAATTGCCTTTATTTTTAGTTAACCATTCTCAATGTCTCAATTCTCAAACTCATAAAGTCATATAAGTCGTAGTTTCATAAGATTTTTATGGCAATATTTACGAATGGCCTAAGAATAACAAATTGGTTTTTTAACATTACGATAGCTATAATTAATTGTTCATTTAATATCGAATTAAAGATTGCGCCGTTTGACCATGAACAGGTGACCAATGGCTAACTGGTATGGTAAGAGATTTACGCATTATGTCATACACCGTTATGCTCAGAGGTCGTGTGTTCTAGTCCAAGCCATCATGTGGACGGATTGGTTTGATCTTGTAGTACGAGCTAGTTTATTAACAAGTGCAATCATTGTGTATTTAATATTCCTTGGGAAATCTTCGAACAAGAGGAGTTCGGGTAACCATGTCCTTCCTTTTTGTAAATTTTTTTGAGCATGTTTCTGTGAATATTTGTTAAGTTTTTTGTTGTCATTATTAATGTGATTATTTGATGTATAAATATATTTCATTCCTATTGTATAAATTACATCAGTTTTTGTTGCTAATTTGGTTTTATCGCTGATAATTCGCTGATTGATAGTGATCCATGTGCACCTATTTTCATTTAGATAACATTTTTTAGTTAGCGCATTTAACATTCGCTCGAACGGTGAAGGAAAACGTCGTGAGGAAACCGACATGTCTTAGACCTAAAAAGTCGACGGCAGGCACTGCAGGCTGATCACCTACTTGCCTATTAGATTGAAACATGATCATGAAACAGATTCAGAAATCTGAGGCCCAGACCTAATGAGGTTGTAGCGCCACTGATTTTTGTTTTTAATATTTTTTAGTGAGATGAAACTATTAGAGTATGCTCCATTATCAGTTTCTGTCGTAGTTATTTTGAATTTAGAATACATTTGATAACCTTTCGTAACTTATCAATTAGCTTAATCTAAAAGTTACAGTTGTGAATTTTTAATTATCAATCTGGGCCAACTACAACTTTTTTCAAATATTTTAAAGGTCGGAATTATCTTAAATATATTGCCGCACGTTACACCGTAAACCGATGGAAGCGTACCGTGCGGCCTGGACCACTCTACGATGGTCCACGACCCTGGCAAAGTAAAGGTTTTGACGGTTTCACATTTAAGACCAGTGCACCCGACGGTACAGCTATCGTTCTGACTATAAAAAAACTATATGGGCCGACGCAACTTGCTGAAGTCTACATATATGTGAAGTTACTGGACGGAACTTACAAGTTGCCTCGTAAGTATTTAATATTTTTTAATTACGAAATAATTACACTATATTTACAAAAGCTAAAGAACTAATTGTATGTATATTTTATGTAAAGAGAAATACTATACTATAAATAAGATTCCATTAAATTTAATGGTGAGACGTATTCTATTTCAATTACACAGTTCTGAATGTGTATGAGAAAACATAAAGTGCGTTAAATCAACGTTAAAGTCGTTTTATCTCTTTGTCAGTATTAATATATTCTTTAAGTAATATCTCCATACAAACAGTCATTTTTAACTGTAAGTTACCACCGAAATTCCTATAAATAAAGCAGTGTAGGCCTAGTGGCTTCAACACATACAGAAGGGGTTGTAGCGCCATTTGTTTTTTTTACTTCCAATATCAGTTGTTTGATTGAAACAGTTCTAAAACTACATGGAAATTAAAGGTTTGCCGTTTGGCAATTAGGGTTTGTATTTTGGAGTGTGAATGCCAGTTTATATACTAATTAACGAGCCAATAATTGAAATCATTATTGGTTTTGTTGAGTACGGGAAAATTACTAAACCAGGTTACACAAATAATGTTACTGTTTATTTAGTGATTAGATATGTTGTACATACATTATAGTGTTATTGGGATTGTCATCATCCCAGGATACTTCACATTAGATTTTTTTTAAAAGATATTTTAACATTAAATCTATATAAAATTTATCTCGTAATCAAACTAGTAAAAATTGAACGAAATCTTAGTTTATAGTATTAACTTATATACTGTATTGTATGTAGATGATTCGGGAACATCGATTAGCCCGTGGGAGGATGTTCCATCGGGGTGGAGGGGAGGTGGTCTCAAGGTTGAAATACTGGAGCCGCAGGATCGTTGTAGAATATCATTCAATGGGCTCCTTTTATGCAATGAAGACGGTGTTATACGACATGTGAAATTTAATTTTATGTACGTATTTATTTATGATTTCTAAAACAAATTACAAAACATACAAAGACGTAAACCAAAGAGGTCTACTTATCTAAGAATTCTAATATGGTGTTAATAAAGTCAAGATTATTTTTGTAAAAGACCGTTTTAAATGTTTTTATTCTGATCTCAAAACAACTTTTAAAAATGTGTTCATAAAGAATACAATTAGATAATATAGTCTATACCTAATGTTCGGGATCCCGGGAAATATGATAATTCCAAAAATAGACGAAATTGACAATACTTTCAACAATGTAATTATTGGATTATGTCAATAATGGAAGACTTGCTTTATTCATCATCATCAGTCTTAGATGCATGTCAGTGGCGTAACTATCTGGGGCCCGTGGCAAATTCTTTTGATGAGGCCCTATCAGTAAAAATCGTCACGTTGTACTCACTTTAATTTGAATAAACTTCGAGATTTTCAGCATACTATATATAGCAATTATATATATATATATATAGCAATTACACGTTGTTTATGTCCTACTAATGGCCTTAGGCCTCCTCTCTTAGGCAAGAGGGAATGTAGTCTGTAGTCCCCACGCTAGCCTAATACGTATTGAATTGGATATACACATTCATCCATAGAACATAATATCTCTTGGTCAGGGGCCCGTGTCATTTTGCCAGCCATGCCACCCTATTGTTACGCCACTGATGCATGTACTGGACGATGCAGTACGTTAGACGTCGAATCCAGGTCAATCGGCTATCCACTATACATTCACCATAGTCTTTTAACCTATGCCTTCCTATGATACTTGAAATGCTTTCAGCTGGGCATCTGCTACCAAAGTTACGAGATACCCTAAAGACTGGAGCAACAATCTCGTTGCGGAATCTCTAGTTTCGCAACCATGCGATGGACCGTGGAAGGAATCGTTGTAAGTTCAATTTTTGTATATAGATGTTCAGTTCTTCGGATGCGTTGCGACATAACGAGAAATTTAAACACTAATTGGTATTTTTCACAATCTTTAGTATAAAAATTTTGTTTATTTTGATATTTGCTAAGTTATTTACGCAAATATAGCGCAAAGGGTTGTGCTCTCAGAAATATTACATGTATATTTTTTCCTGCCGTCATAATTAGGTTTTTTCCATAACAAAAATATTAAATTTTAATTAATAAACAAATTACAGAGCTTTTAATGCTTCGTCTCTTCTTATATATTTAATGTACGCATTAATATAACAGGAACAAATGCATCGAAGGTTCAGGAAGTTGGTCGCAATTCGGAGCATTACAAGGAAGGTTCCAGGCCTTTGAAGAGGGGAAGATATTGAACAGCCATTATCTCAGGTGTAGAGGTGTTAAGGAGCGTTATTGGATGGCCACAGAATATGGACCAAAACGGGCGATAGCTATCACTGCCGCAGCAAAAGATGGCACTGTCCTCAATCTCCAAGGGTTTTGTTTCAACGATATTACTCAGTAAGTATGATGTTCTTGCGATCGTTTGAAAGCTGAAATACGCAAAAATTCTTAATTTGCTTAATTATCAATGGCCTATTTTTATAACTATATTAAACAAAACCTTTATGATACTTCTATGTATTGTTATTCTAATGTATTACATATTTAATGGGCAAAATGTATTTTATTTGTTACAAATGTATACGAAATGTTTTCTAGTAGGTACCGCCTACGTGGCCTAGTACTTATCGCAGGAAGTAGGTATGAAGGTTCTATTCTCGGTTTTTATTCTGTGTGTTTAATCATCAATGATCCAGACTTATATCTACCCTACGTCCCATTAGGGAGTTGCGCTACTTAAAAATGCAAAGTTAACGATTTTCGTATTAATTATTTTTTGCAGATGTATCTCGGGCACGGTGAGAATGCCTAACTTCAGTGTACAGGCGATCACGTCAGCTGATTTGGACTTGAAGGAATTTTGTGAAACGCCTGACGAGATACCAAAGACGTATTCCATAAATATCAAAGGTACATTCTGTTTATTCTAGGTCATAAATCATAGACTAAAATATAATATCGCTATTTTGTCATTAACCCTGATGATCCTGGATTCCTGGCGAAACAACAGTGCCTTGTCGCACAAAAAATATCTGGAGCAACAATCACGCTAAAATCTACGCTTCTATTATCGCTCCATTGGTAAATATCTAATCTATCAATTTCATTTTCAGCTGGAAATCGGTGCCTGAAAGTAATTCTTAGGATACCCGACGAAGGCTCTAGTCTGATAAGTGGCATATACCAACAGCATGAAATCCATTACCGAATGATCTTCGTTGAAATATATGGAGAGCATGGCACTGGTGTATTAGAATTGCAATATGAACGTAAAGGTAAAATTTCATAATTATATATTCTTGTGAGGTTGTACGATTGAGATATCGTTTATATCGATATTGACTATATCGTCATGATCGTAGAACAGTGTCGGATTTGAAAAAAACCAAAATCCACTTTTTATCTTAATTGGATACTACATTGACTAAATATTACGGCTACATTAAAAAAAAATCCATGTGTTTTTAAATTTCAAATTAATCAGTCGGTAAAGTTACGGATTTGATAGAAACATGTGATTTTTCTAGAAAACTGTGTTATTTTAATGTTATTATTTTTTAACGCTTTTGTTTATTTGTATGCCAATTTCCATAATAACAGAATATGAATTAACATAGTTATGACACAAACTAACATGATTATATTATTTTGAAATGGCTGCCCTGTAAAGTTTACTATTTATCAGATCCGTCACTGTTCTACGACTATGACGATATTTTGTGTAACTTTTTTTTTCTATACATCGTAAGGCAACAAACACTTTATCACGCACAGAAGGCTGATAACCTTATTTCTTTAAATAAATCTGATGACGATATCAAATATAAACTATTAATACTAAGATATAATTACTGGGATACAATTGGATCTTTAAGCAACGCGTAAACGTTTAGTACATGTTAAGAAACTAGTTTTTATTCTACACAGTCGGTGGTTTTAGGACAATAAAATGAATAAGAGAAGGTTTACATTACACTAAATTTTTTAGATAAGCTCTCAAGTCCATTATCTATGAAGTCGGACCATAAGTTGAAGTGGGTGGAGTTAAAAGACGTGCCAGAATGCACCCAATATTGCGTACGATTTGAGGAGTGTGAAGCCAGCTGCGTCCAATTGGTTGGAGGAAAGGGAGCCTCTTTAGCTCTACTGGCTTCTGTGCAACACGAGGAGGTATATCGTTATATTATTTCAATACTTTGTTCATTAGAAAAACCCCTGTATGTGTGTGACTAGTGTGTAAGCGACCAAGTTACGTTTTTGATAGTTGCAGACGGTGAAAACCATTATGAAATTTTATTCTAAGACAGATCTTAGTCCGTATAAATTATCTATAATAACTCAATCATGTGTATGTTATATGTTTAATCGTATATCGTAAATGTCTGCCAAAGTAATATAATCATCTATGGCACCATTAGTATTTTTATAAATGTTGATGATTATCGCATACATGTGCCGATGCTGCGGCGGCCATTTTGATTAAATTTAAAGTTTCGTGGGAATATTTTCTTCGTGAATAGTGCCTGAATAGTTACTGTGAAAACAAAATATGTTCATTAAAATTTTAATTACTATATAGTAATTACAGTAAAATAAACTCTAATTTATCTTTATAAAATACTGTTAAACAATGCACATATAGGTTTTAGAAAAGCATAAAAATCTTGACAAATTCATGTGTTCGAATTGCCGATTGTTTTTAGAAGCGACACCATAACCTAATTCGTATTTCTACATGCAACAGTGTCATAAATATCAATGTTAAAAATTAGCTTTTTAAGACACTTATTGCCGCGGACGGACCTCCACTATGTGAAATCAGCTATCGAACGAATACGATAAAAACGAACCGATTCGACTTAGGCTCCTTCATGATAAGAGCGTATTGATTCCTTATTGGCGGATCCCAGGGCGGTATCACTCAACATCAGATGAGCCTCCTGCCCCTTTGCCCCCTGTACTGTAGAAAAACACATGGGTTGGATAGAAATACGTTATTGTACCAACTGCACGGTCCCTTCTACATTGAAGAGCGGACCGTACTTCTGGTTTCTTCTATCTATGTTTGCCATAGTCATTTTGTATGATGATTTGATATTATAAAAGAGTACCGTGAGTTTTTTACGCTGGCTTTTTCGGCCAACACGCTCTGTCATCTTTGCCGATTAGTAGGGATGTCTACCGATACAAATTTAATGACGTGGAATAAGTGATTATCTTATATTACATAATAAACATATTTTATTTTATTGCCTTTTATAATAATACTGTACCAAAAAACGATTGTCTTCCAGAACTATCAAGTGCCTCCAGGGTTTTGTATAACTACTAGAGCTTTGGATAAATTCCTTGATTTACATCCTGACGTGATGGCCGCCATTAAAGACATAGAGGCCGCTGCGGTGGATTATGATGAAGTCACTTTCAAGGACAAATGCCAAAAGTAAGTATTGTCTGATTAGGCAAAACATAAATTAATTAGTAAGTTGACATAATAAATAACCCAAGACATTTTTTTTAAATTTATAAATACATATATATTATTTTGTAATAAGCGTTATTTTCAATTGTATGCGAAAGTAGTTACGAAGATTTAATATACTACACAGATTTTATTTGATTAACTATTCAAAATTTATATACATTAACTAAAAAATATTACAAACATTGTGTAAGTATTAGTTTACCAATCGAGCACGATCCACAAAGATATACAATCTATATGTGACAAGTAAAACTCATGGAGCCCATTATACATCTCTTCAGACCATTTTAATCATGAAATAATATTATTCAATGTTTTTTAATGTTTCAGAGCTACAGAACAATTTTTATCCAAAGAAATATCAGGAGAAGTAAAGGACGAAATCTTAAAAAGTTTAGAAGTATTAAAAACCAACTGCCTCAGTTCCGAACCACGTTTTGCAGTAAGATCTTCTGGTGAGTATTTAAACATATATCACCGAATCGTAGCGTTTATCGTTACATTTCATAACGAAGACGAAAAAAAGATCGCATCGCTTGATTGTTTCTATACTGTCTCTGGACCAATCACAATTAAGCGTTCGATCAAGGGTTTCATGTTGCAAATGTTAAATCTTAGGATTATTTATTCCAAATACCAGTTGTTCAATCAAGATAAATTTGGTTAGAAGGACAATATGTGACCAAAGTTTGTACTCAACAAATTCGTCGGTTTAACTCATATGATGTATTGATTTTTTAATTTAAGATTGCTTATTTACGTACGATTTATAGTTTCAACACGATTACTATATACATTTATTAAATTTCTATCTATTCCGTGGTTATTTATTATGATTGTTAGGCGTGGGTGAGGATGGCGAAGCATTGTCAGCGGCGGGACAAAATCACACAGAATTAGGCGTACGCTCCTCTCGAGATGTCCTACGGGCTGTTCAGACTTGCTGGGCTTCCATGTTTGCCTTCAACAGTGCCTATTACAGAAGGTGAGTTCTTGTAACTAAATTTCCCACTGAGCGGGTTTTTCCTCTCTTTAATTCATTCTCTTATTTTCTCTGGCTCTAAACACCAAAATTATATTTTTGCTGATGTTAAAAATATATGTTTTTCATTAAGTCAGATTCAGTTCAACTGCAGAAACCTTCTAGAACTTAAGAAATTGTCTAAAAAAAAAATTATGCCATTATATGCCAAATAAATATAAACCTAAAAATTTCATGTCATGTAAGCCTCTGGACTTAAAAACAAGCTACCAGAAACCTAGAGAGATTTAAACAATTTTCATATGTGTATCGCAGGCAAAACGGTCAGCCGTGTTGTGTGCAGGGTGGAGTAGTAGTACAACAGTTAGTAGAGGCCCGAGCGGCTGGAGTCATGTTCACTTCTCATCCACAATACGGGGATCCTTCAAGGCTTCTACTCACTGCCAACTATGGATTGGGAGAGGTTCGTAGAAAACATCGCACGGATTGTATTTGTTTAGGATATATTTGTAATATTTAAAAAAATTCCTTCTTACAGAGTGTGGTATCAGGTATGGTAGAACCTGATACGATAGAAGTCAAGCGTAGCATGGATGGGTCAGTATCTATCGCACACATGGAAGTGGGTAGCAAGGCGCAAAGAATAGTAGCAAAGGAAGGCAAAGTGGAATCGGAAGATGTCTGTGAGGGGGAGAGAAAAACTTCATGTTTGAGTGAAGAAGAGATTATGAAGCTGGCAAGACTAGGAATACGACAGGAGCAATTATGGGGCGCTGGAAGAGATATTGAATTCGCCATTGGCAAGGTTTTTTTTTTATTAGTTGTTGTGCGTGACTTTATAAATTTAGTACCCTTATGGGTCTTGGATTTTAATTTCTTAATGTTTCATTCATGTGTCAACCTGCTGAGCCGAATACGTTTTTATTGTCTAAGACAGTTTCTGTTGATGATGTTCTTCTATATAGCAATTTTTCCTATTTTCAAAACAATAGATACAAAATCTACAAAATATGACTGATAACTTCGCGATTCAACCAAAACGCTACGCAAAATCTTTATAATAATACATCAGTTCATTTCTATGTATCTGCCAAAAAGTCTTCGGTGTCTTGCTTCTATATCCATGGAAACTTCGTGGGCTAGATAATACAATTATTTATATATTAGGACGGGACCATTTATCTCCTGCAAGCGCGTCCTATCACATCTTTGGAAGCCTGGACTGAGGAAGAGTTACTGCATGAGTTGGACTTTCCTGTTATGTCTGATGACGAGCTGATTACTTTCGCTAACGTGGGAGAGGTTAGTATTTAATATGATTTTAAGTAAAGCAAAATAAATCTATTTTTGTTTTTATTTGTATGCTTGATTTAAAAAAAATATTTTATATTGATTTTTAAAGCAAGATTTTTACCTACATTTTAAGTGAAGGGTTTACTTACGTGACCAATAAATAAATATTTTATCGTATTAAAAAAACTAGTGACGCTACAACTCATTGTCTTTGCCTCAGATTTCCGTAGGTATTTGTTTCGTTTAAATGTTTTCTATACCTTGCCTGATACACGTCGTATTTTGCATTTAAGACATGCCGGTTTCCTCACGACGCACTTAACAAAGTCAATTGTGATTCAACTGCATTACTTAGGGTTGAATGCGTTGAAGCCACTTGTCCAACACCGCTCTTTTATCCTTCATTCTCCATGAAGTTGACAAAAAGGTTAGGTATATTAAAAAATGTATCTAATTCTTAACAATTATTCGTATTTTTAACTTTTAATTTTATTTTATTTATTCACACCACATTATACAAGACTTCATTACTTACACTGCTAACTTTTACTAATGTTATAATTATTATTTTCTACTAAGTATTAATACATTTCTTTTTTTTCGCGACTGAGGCGCAAATTAGCTTATGTGGTCTCTGGCAGAATGACCAGCTCTGTGGAACATTTAGCTCCTCAGCATAATGCTGAGCCAGGGCCAATTACAGCCATAGCACACACGCATTACATACTTGAATCGAACCGAATGGGAAAAGGAAAAAAAATATATATATCTCTCATAATATCTTTTTATTTAATTTTTTCTCATTGATTATTGTTATTTTGTGTGTTTTTGTTTGTAATAAATGATATGTCTGCCTATGATATTAAATTTTATGTGTACCAGATGCCCTAAAAATTATTTTGAACTTCAGGTTCTACCTAAGCCGTTCACAGCGCTATCATTTGACTTGGTGATATCTCCCTTAGAACGGGGTATATCTGCGCTAGTCCCTGACGTCGACGACAAATATTGCAAAACTGTAGTCGTCACTCACAACAGAGGTGCTGTTGCCCTTTATAACGTAAGTACTTTATTTATACAGTTTTCTTTATGTATTATTATGTAACGGCCGTAATGTACGTTGGGTGACGTCACCCATATGTTGTCTATAAATTACATCGGAGTAGGTTTTCTAGAGAACGTCGAGTGTCACCGTAACGTCAAATAGCGGTGCTGTCATTTGCATGACGGCCGTCATAGCGGTGATAAACAGTAGTTCAACATTTTTCGCGTGTAGCGGTGCCCATATTTAATTAATACAATGAGTGGAAACGTGACTTGGACAAGCGAAAATGATTGTTTTTTGCATTATGTTAAAAAGTAAAGACGGCTGTTCTTAACAACCGCAAAATGACAGCCGTTAGGTAACGGCACCGCTTTTCTAGGAAACCTAAGCTTTACGCTTGTCAAATATTGAATTTTTTGTATGCATATTTAAGGAACATTAGAAAGAGAAGAGCTTTAGAATTAAAAATAATGACGCGGAAGGCCTGGAAGGAAATATCCTACTTCAATATATGTCCATAAAAAATAACCTTACTCTTAAAATAGATATATGCTTTTATATTTTAATAAATTTATTATGTACGAAAGCAGAGGGCATGTTGACTCCCACAATTTGCTAAAATTGTTTATTTATATTGATTTGTAAAAATCCAATATTGGTTCTTGACTTTGGCAAAAGCCCTATTAGCGAAAATAGGTCTTGAAATGTCTTTTACAAAATAGAATGCAGCGGATTAAAACACAATTTTTAATTGATTAATAAATTGCTTTGACGTGTGGCTTGTAATTTTGAAATATTTTTTTTATGCTACAGTCCGTGTACCGGCGCGTGCCTAACACAATCGACGTGAACCTGCGTATGCTCGAAATGTCTATTCACGGTCACCGTGTGGCGGACGATGCCATTCTCAGTACAGCGCTGCATCGCCGGACTCCTGCCCGTACAGACCGACTGCGGTCAATTCTTGATATGATAAAGGTACTCTTAGTTACATCTTAATATATATAAATTACGTGTCACGTTGTTTGTCCGCTATGGACTTCTAAACTACCGAACCGATATCCATCAAATTTGCACACCGTGTGTAGTTTGATCCAACTTAAAAGATAGGATAGCTTACATCTCAATTTATACCCGCAATATTATTTTATTGCAAAATATTTGTTTATTTATTTGATTGTCACAATTCTAACAGATGGCGCTGTGTTGAAAGTACCAACGTTTCACATAAGCTACAATTTAATGACATAACCTCCAAAAAAGCATGGTGTTCTGCTACCCTTTCCCTTGAATGGTTTGCTACTATGTAATAGAACAAAAACCTTAGCCACAGCAACGCTTGGCCGGTCTGCTAGTTAACAATATGTTTACAGTAGTAGTTTGCAGTATAGTTTGTGAGGTTTGTACACCCTGTGGAATTAAAGAACCGATTTTGAAAATTCTATTATCAATAAAAAACATGTTTTTTTTTTCATAGGCTATATTAATCCGAAAATGAAAACTTTTTTTGGGGTAATCGGATTTGTAAAGTAAGTGAAAACGGTCTAACGTAAAATTTTCATGCAAACACTGCCTTAACGATGAGAGATATGTAGGTGATTGATTAACGTGTCGTATTGAAACAGTGATGTGTTCTGACAAGAACATATCAGAATAGTTACGGTCGTGTGTTCTGAAAAGAACAGTTTCATCGTGTCGTAAGACACGGTAATACGTCCTGACAAGGACAGTTGTTAAACGTTTTCGTCGTGAAACAAGAATAATATGTCCTGAAAAGGACAGTTGTTAGACGTTTAGTCGTGATACGACAATTTGTCCTGAAAAGGACAGTTATTAGCGTTATCGCAAGGCTACGATATCGAAGTGTTCTGAGAAGAACACGTTCGTACGCTTAGATGGCTGCGTGCAGAAAAAGGCCAACTTTTTGCCGCGCCGCATTTTTATCGCCTACTCTGGTACCTGCGCAACCAATCAACGCTCCGCATCTTGGCACCACATGTCAATATTAGTTGTAAGTGTAGGATAATTTTTAAGTATAATTGTACACAGTTTTGTAAATAAATATCATTCATTATTCCATCTTCACCTCTTCTCTACAAGTAATTAGGGAGTTTTATTTTAACATCGACCAAATAATTCTGGAGCAATCTACCTCAAGCAAACATCCCTAAAGTGGTGACCCCGAGAAGAACAACCCCGTGAAGAACAACCCCGAGAAGAACACCAAGAACATTGAAGATGTCGACAACAGAAAATTCCGGTGCAGAGCGTCAAACTTCATCAACACCGTCGAGCCAAGAAGTCTCCGGTATTTCACTGTCGCTCCGCGTGCCACCATTCTGGCGTGACCAGCCGCTCCTCTGGTTCTGCAGTTTCGAAGCAGCAACCGCCGATCTAAAACGAAGCCAGGCCCAGCTCGCCCAGATGGTCATCGCACAGCTTGAAAAGCAAGACATTCAAAACATCGCTGACCTCATTTGCTCGCCGCCGAAAGCAGATTACTACAACGCAATTAAAGACCGTTTAATATCGCTATACGAAGAGTCTAACAGCGCACAAACGAAGAAGCTACTGTCGCAAGTCGAGCTCGGAGACCAGAAACCCAGCCAGCTGATGAGGCAAATGAAGCAGCTTAACAAGGATAAATTTCCCGAAAGCACCATCAAAATGATGTGGCTCGAGCATCTGCCGCCACAGATTCGCTCCGTGCTAGCTGTCAGCGAAGCGTTTAAAATCAAAACGACGCTCGACGACCTTACCTTGCTCGCGGACAAAATGATGGAAGTCCACACGCCGTCGCAACACATCGCTGCCGTTGCAACGCCTTTCGCATCTGTACCATCGACTCCACCACCTCTAGCACAATCACCTCATCCGCAACAGCCAACCATTGACACCCTCATCGGTGAAATAAGAAGGTTGTCTTTGGAAGTTGCTGAGCTACGAGCACAACCTCGCGACAACTACCGCAACAGTCGCTCTCGACACCGTTTCCAATCACGCTCGAGGAACGCATCTCCACATCACAACGAAAACCAACGAGAGTCGCAGATGGAAGACCGAAGCCGAAAAAAATCTCCAATGCCGTACTGCTACTACCATCATCGCTACGGTATGGACGCGAAGAAATGCGCACCACCGTGCAGTTTCAAGCCCATTAACCAGTCGGAAAACTAAAAGTAACGCTAGCCGCGGCGGGAACTGGCGTTACCGAATCATCACACCGCCTTTTCGTTACCGACAGGGTAACGAAACTTACTTTTTTGGTCGACACAGGAGCCAATATCTCCGTGCTACCAAAGAAAAAGGGCTCACGCGAAAAACCACTGCCGTTTCAACTGTACGCCGCCAACAACACTGTAATTCCTACATACGGAGAGAAGTCACTCACACTCGATCTTAACCTCCGAAGACCATACACATGGAAATTTGTCGTAGCAGATGTGTCCAAGCCAATCCTGGGAGCAGATTTCTTACAGTACCACCACCTCATTGTCGACGTAAAAAACCGACGATTGATCGACGGGAAAACACAGCTGGTAACTAACGCTCAACTCAGTACTTCGGGCATACCTACAGTTCGCAGTATAGACATTGGGCAAAATTACCACAGCATACTAGCAGATTTCCCAGGCACAACTAGACTCACTTCAATGAAGCTTAGTCCTAAACATTCCGTCGAACACTTCATTGAAACAAATGGACCGCCTCTTCACTGCAGGCCACGCCCCATTGCGCCGCATCGCTACGAAATGGTCAGGAAAGAATTTCAGAGCATGATAAATCAAGGGTTATGCAGACCAAGCAAAAGCCCTTGGGCATCACCTCTTCACGTCGTGCCTAAGAAGAGTGGAGAGTTACGCGTGTGTGGCGATTACCGAAGGCTCAACGCTATAACCAAGCCCGATCGGTATCCCATACCACGCATACGTGACTTCACATACCAGCTCGCAGGGAAGAAAATTTTCTCCACACTCGACCTCAACCGGGCGTACCAACAACTGCCAGTCAGCGAGCAAGATGTGGAGAAAACAGCTATCATAACACCATTCGGCCTTTTCGAGTTTCCGCGTATGTGTCCTGGTCTAAAGAACGCCGGCCAGACATTCCAACGTTTTATTCACGAAGTACTGCGCGAACTCGACTTCGTATTCCCTTTCGTTGATGATCTACTGATAGCGTCAATAGACGAGGAAGAGCACCGAAAACATCTACGCACCGTATTACAGCGACTCGAAGAATACGGCATTACTATCAACCCATCAAAATGTGTTTTCGGTCAGCCAACTGTCAAATTCCTCGGTCATCAAGTCACGGCGGAAGGAATACAGCCACCCCAAGAGAAGGTACAGGCTATCACAGATTTTCCAAAGCCACAAACCGTAGAGGAACTGCGACGTTTTCTCGGTATGATCAACTTTTACCGCGAAAATATCAAAGATGCCGCCACCATACAAGCGCCGCTAAATACTTACCTGCACGACATCAAGAAGCGTGACAAAACTAAGATCGACTGGACCGCTGAATCGACGCAAGCTTATGAAGCATGTAAAGAGAGCATAAAAACGCCGCTTTACTCGCTCATCCGTCTCACCATGCGACGCTTGCTATATTCAGCGACGCGAGTGACAAAACAGCTGGTGCCGCACTCAACCAGTTTATCAACGACTCGTGGCAACCACTCGGCTATTTCTCGAAGAAATTCAGCGACGCACAGACTCGCTATAGTACTTACGATCGAGAGCTACTCGCCATCTACATGGCTGTCAAACATTTTCGCAAAATGTTCGAGGGGCGAGAAATTATAATATTCACGGACCACAAGCCGCTAACTTTCGCTTACACCAAATCAAATACAAACAGCGAATCACCGAGACGCACCCGACAGCTACTTTATATCAGCGAATTTACCACTGATATACGTCACGTCAGTGGGTCTCAAAATGCAGCCGCAGACGCATTATCACGCATCGACGCAATCACATGTCCATCGCCGATCGACTACAATCAACTTGCAATAGCTCAAGAACGCGACAGCGATACCATTAAAACACTCGGTTTACAGAGCAACTTATCTTTCAAGGAAGTAAACCTGCCCGCGTCAAACACCAAATTACTCTGCGAAACTTCGACCTCATACATACGTCCGTACCTACCTGAAGAATACCGACGTACCGCATTCGACGCAGTACATAACGTTAGCCACCCTGGAATAAAGACCACGAGGAAATTAATTACGCAACGCTACTTTTGGCCCTCAATGAACGCAGATGTCGGCAAGTGGGCAAAAGTATGCCTACAGTGTCAGCGCGCTAAAATACAACGCCACACAACAAGTCCATTATCAATTTTTTCACCAACCGAACGATTCGAACACGTTCACATCGATATCGTTGGTCCGCTACCTACCGCGGCCACCGGTCATCGATACCTTGTGACAATGATCGACAGAGCGACGAGATGGCCCGAAGCATACCCATTATGCGAAATAACAGCCGAAGACGTCGCCAAAGCATTATACGAAGGTTGGATTTCCCGTTTCGGTTGCCCTGCTACAATAACAACGGACCAAGGACGCCAATTCGAAAGCAGAGTATTTGCATCTCTTTCTCGCTTACTCGGAATTGAAAAAACGCGTACAACATCATACCATGCACAGTGTAACGGTATCATCGAAAGATGGCACCGTGTCCTTAAGGCCGCATTAAAGGCAAGACTACAGACCGCAAGAAGCTGGATCAACGAGTTACCAACCGTCCTACTCGGATTACGCGCCGCCATGCGAAGTGACACCGGCGTAAGCGCCGCCCAACTTACCTACGGATGCAACATACGCTTACCCGGTGATTTCTTATCAACGACCCGCGATGACGTCATTATGGACTCTGCCTACATCGATCAGCTGCGCGACGCAATTCGTAACTTGCAACCAATGCCTAACCAACCACACGGCAACACAAAACCTATATTCATACACC